AATTCACCCATGGTGGCTTCATGTTACGCCCAAGCCACGTCTCTGTTTCTCGGCCTAAACTAACTCAGAAGGATGTTGTGAGGATAAAATTGATAATGAGACAGTATTATATGTTACATGCATGCTGACCCTGCAAATCTCTCTCTCTCTCTCTCTCTCTCTCTCTCTCTCTCTCTCTCTCTCTCTCACCTGCTGCACAGGCCCAGTTTTCTTAGGATTTGTGCTTCTGTGGAAACATATGGATGGAAATTGCCTTTGGTAGTAATAGCAAAGAATTAGAAGGAGAAATGGGATTTCTAGTTAACTGAATGGTATAAAGAAATCTGGAATATAGCTGTTATTGATTAGCTTACATGTGGAGTTAAAGCGGAAAAAGGGCTGACAAATAAGAATGATTTTAATGATATATGGGGCTTGTTTATTGAACATGTATTAATAAAAGCAAAGGGTATTAAACCTTTGGACAGCTCAGTGCAATTCTGGACAGAAGGAGGTATTCCTTAAAGAGTGGAAATTTAGAAGAAGCAAGGACGTAGAAGGAAATTAATGACTAATTACTATGAAGTCATGGTCCCCGTGGAGGGATGTACTAGTTTTTTTCTTTTTTGTTGTCTCTTTTTATCCTTTATGATGTATTTATATATTTGTATTGCTGTGTTATAGTAGTGTAAATTAAACAAATTAAAATTAAAAAGGCAAATCTCCTTTGGAAGTCCCAAGCCACCAAGTCCAATGTCAAGGTAGGCGTGGTTGGAGACCTGCTGAGGACCCACACCTGCCCCACGGGCAAGAGCCTCTGCTCAGGTGTATGCCCTTGGTAAGATCTTCCTCTTCACCAGTGCAACGAAGAGCCATTGTGAGACGTGGATGAGAGCAGGGGACTAGGACTCAATGGATGTGGGTTCCAGTCGCCGCTCAGCCATGGAGCTCACTGGGGGACTTTGGGCCGATCACAGGCTCTCAGCCCAGCCTACCTGGCAGGGTTGTTTTTGTGAGACAAGGTTGAGAATTATGTAAGCTGCCCTGAGTTCCTTAGAAGGGGGGGAAAGTGGTATCTCAGTATGATAGATGAAATAAATCAACACACACGCCTGCTTGTTCTGTTACTTCTTGCTCTGGCCCAGACAACGGTGGTGGTGGTGGGAAGAAAGAACAGAAGCCATGGCCTGCCTGCTCTCTGCCTGTCCGGCAAGCAAGGGGGTGACGGGAGGAGGAGCAGTGGCAGCTGGTGCTGGTGCTGGTGGTGGGGAAAAAGCGGTTTCCCTGAGGGAAGGGGCTCTTGGAGGGAGTCTTGTCTGAGGGTCCTCAAATTTCAGGAGCCAGCCCTGAGCACATCCGTTGCTCTGCCCGCCTTGCCGTTCACGCACAGGTAAAGCCCTCTGCTACCCGAGGCCCTCAGGCTTCCCCCTCTTACCCCTGAGCTACTCTTGGGATTGCACGGAAGCACCCAGCCAGCTCTAGTTCCCAAAGGAGAGGGACATGGGACCCAAAGCCAGTCTGGCGCAAGAAGACTTTGCAGAGCTGTTCCTGCATCAGGGGGGAGAAAAGAGAGTTGCCCTTGCAACTGGTCTGAGCCAGCCCCCAGGAATCGGAAGCTGCTGCCTGAAGAGGCCCAAAATGCCGTGCCCACCCTGTGTCACATCGGAAAGGAACAGGCATAGTCTTGCCAAGGGAACACACCAGGAGCCTCGAAGAAACCGAGAAGCAAATCTACCTGATGCAGGAGACAAGCTTACCCATCCTGACTTGTTTCAAGTGATTCGCTCTTCATAAGGCAGTTGTGTTGAGCTCTGTTAGGACTGGATTGCCCAGCCCAGGCCCTGCGTGGATGGAAAGAGCTCTGGGACTGCGGCCGTGCCCAGGGGCATCGCCCTGTTCTGTCTGCGCACCCCTTCGCACAGGAGAGGAGCATTTGGGCCTCTCAGCTAATGCTGGGAAGAACAGCTGCCCTCTCCGGGGCTCGTCACGTCCCTGGCTTTGAGGGGCACCCGGCACTTCAAGGTGCCTTAGTGGATGCTGGGAGGAGCGAGCGCTCATCTCAGCAGTGGCCAAGCGCCCGGTCACTGCATCTTTGCTTTCATCTCCTCTCTGAGATCGTGCAGCAGTGAGTTGCTCACAGGGGAATTGCCCCCATTGTCTCTGACCTCGGGAGATGACAGCGGAGGTGCCTCCAGGGGTGGACCTTGGAGGGTGGGCCTTGCCCCTTGGGGGAACCCAGCGCTCTGTGGGCCCGATTAGAAATTTAACAAGCCAGATTAGTCTGGGGTTTCTGCATCCCTGTCTTAAGTGATGATATTTATTGTGATTTCTTAGCCAACTCATTCCTAAAGAGCCATTGATTCAAATAGTTCTAGGCCATCAAAATGGAAATGGATATCATGATTATACCCCTCTTAGAGTATTTGATTTTTCCTGATCTTCAAAGCAGCCCCTGGGTAACTTAATTAGTTTTAAAAGCAACAACCCTGTGGGAATCCTAATTGCAGATCTCTAGCATTATGTCTAATTTGGCCCCAAGTGTTTCCCTAAAACTGGACTGCAGCTGCAACCACCGATTTGCCTTTATATACGGTCAGAACACACACTTGAAGCACAAGTGGGCTCATTGGCTTTATGTCCAGTGATAACATTGGCTCAGCCTGCAGCCTGCAGCAATGCCCATGGGGAGCTGCTGGGGTCCCAGAGCACCAGCAGGGCCTCTCTCTGCTGACTCCTTCCCTATATCCCTGGTGGTGGAATCTGCAGTAGCAGGTGGTTACTTTAATCTCCCACAATGCCCACTAAGTCGTGTCTTTCCAGGGCATTGTGGGAAATTCAGAGGGCTGCCTGCTGTTGCTGCTACCAGGAAAGCCTGTGGCCAGGGACCAGTTGGCATAGGAAAGGGGTCTGTCAGAGGATACATGCCTGGGACCTGAGACCTGTGCGGTCTGCCAGCTCTTCCAAAACAATCTCATTCAGAACATTGGATGCGTTTTAGCAGGAGGACTGCTTAACATAGAATCTTAGGCAGAAAGAAAAAAGAAGGAAGTAGATGAACTGATGCATTTCACTTCTTATGCCAGATTATATTTAGGGCAGGCTGAAGCAGCCACTTGTGCATCATCCAGAAAGGAGGAACTGCGTCAGCATACAGGAGGATAAGGAGGATGCATATTTACATTATATATGCATATATGTAATTCTAAAGAAAAATAATCTGGGCATATTGAGGAAGAGCATGATTGGGGAGCTCTTTGCCTGCCTGTCCAGTCTGTTGTCCCGGCTGTTCACTATGGATGATGAGAGACTTTAATGTCCCCACCTCTCTCTCTGTATGATTCTTTATCTTCAAACTGGACAGCTCTTCAAATAGAGGACTGCCTGTGTAAAATAGGACACACTGCCACCTGGCTCGTGATCGATTAATCATGTTACCAGGGATGGTTTCAAGCGTTGTGATCCCAGTGCATCACACCAGTGACCGTGACTGGAACAACTGGCTTGTCAGTTTTGAGCAGAAGCTGTTGGGTGCCTGTGCAGTATGGCAGAAAGAAATCTGATGTCACTTGGTGGGAAATTTAGAGGTCCCAGTGTGTGCATTTGCTAGTAAGAACCACACTGAGTGGAAGTTTCTTCTTGATTGCTTTTGCACAAACATAACCCTGTTTAGCAGTCTATGGAAAATCTGCACCTTTGCTGTTTTGGCTACATCTTTTACAGCTGCCTTCCCCAATCTGGTGTCCTCCAGATGTTTCAGACTTCATCTCCCAACATTCCTGACCATTGTCCATGTTGGTTGGGGCTGATGGGGTTGAAGTCTGCAACATCTGGAGGGCATCATGATTGAAAATCATAGTTTTATTAGAAGCAAGGCTCAGAAGGGATACAACTGTAATACCCTCCACTGTGGCTATAAACTAGAATCTTGGAGAGAAGTACATGTCCACCATGGTGGCTTCCCAAGGAGTGATGCTAGACTCAGGAGAACAGAGGAACGGATGAATGAGCAATGAACATCTGTAGGTTTCTCCATGGGCTTGCTGCTCAGCTCCTGCACAATTCCTATTCCCATGTCCTGTTCACTGTGAGAACAAGATATTGCACAAATCAAGCAGATCCTTTGCACAAATATCTAAAATTTATTCCCATTTCTTAAAGTTCCTCCTTAGTCTAAAGTGGGGCAAATTCAGTCTATGATGGAAATGTATGCAATTTACAAAACTGGTGTAAATAGGGGAAATTGATGCAAACCATGTGAAGGCATACATCTGACAATGCACAGATGCTCAGAATTGTGTTCAGAGCTGCAAAGAGGTCATTCTCATTGTTCTGTGCACAAAAGTGAAATTCTCATAAATCGCTAGGTGAGGGCAAATCTTTTAGAGTCCGAGTGCCCAAACTGCAACCCAAAAGCCACTTATTTATCGCAAAGTGCCAACACTGCAATAAAATCTGAATACTGAGGTTTTAGTTTAGAAAAAACAACTCATACATTAACATCTTTTGTCTTAAAAGAAAAACATAACAGAGCTTTCAATGATACGAACATAAATATATCCTTGGGAGCGCACTGACCGGCCATGTGAAAGCTCGGATGAGTCGTGGTTGATGAGTCGTGGATCGTGATGTCATTGCCTGGCGCCGCTACTCCTTTCCAAGCATGCGCATGGCCCCTATGTGCGCTGTTATCTGATGCTTGGCTGCTGGGGTGATGCTGGGGTGACTCGGCTCACGTGCCGACAGAGAGGGCTCTGCATGCCAACTGCGGCATTTTATTTATTTATTTATTAAAACATTTTTATGCTGCCCCATTCGCCGAAGCCTCGGGGCGGCTTACAACAATAAATAAAACCACATAAATTCAAATATACATATTAGAATAGTAATAATAATTTAAAATACAATATACACATGTGAGCCATAGGTTCACCACCACTGCCCTAGGTGGTATTTGTCTGCCCTTTATAGTAAACTACCTAGATCAAAGAGGTCTTGTTCAATTTCTTCTTTCTCCACAGCACCACTGAGAGGACCCTTCACAAGAAGAAAAATTCTCCACTTCAGATTCTAGTGAAAAGCAAACTTCCCCAGCTGTTGAGATGCCTGTCGCTTCTACAAACTCTGAGACAGGTAAGCTCTTGCTCCTATCTCTGTAGCAGCCATTCCCACCCTCCTGATGGATCAGCCTGTGACACACATCACCACCAGTGTGGCTGGGCCACAGTACAGGGTTGGACTTGATGCCCACACATCTGGAGAACCTCAGGTTGTGGGGGTGATAGATAACCGGGGCTTATATTTTGCACACAACAATCAAAGGAAACCTACTCCAGCCCCCATGCTTGAATGGGGCCTTCCTACAGTCTCAGCTTGTAACTGCTGTACAGTTGGCTCTACAAGGAGTCAAGCTGCAGCGGGATTTAAATAACCGAATGCACCCCCCCCGCCCCCCAATCCTGTGCTTCTGAGAGGCACACCAATAGCGCATAAAAGATATCCAGTTTCTCCCACAGGTTTCTAATGGGTTTGGGAACAATGCTGTCTCTTTACCGTTTTGCACTATAGAGTGATGGTCCTTCAGATTGTATTCTAGGGAAACAGAGACTCTTGGAAGATGACGGGGTGGGAGGGGGCTTGGCCAACAACAGATCTCTCTGTAGCTCTGGCAGCGGACCTGGAAGCTGATGCCAGCCCTGTCTACAATGGTTCTCTTGTGCCCTTTAGTTGTTCTGGACTACAACTCCCAGCATTCCTGACCATTAGCCATATTGGCTAGGGCTGATGGAAACGTGAAATAAAAATCATTGGGAGGTTGCAAGATTGAGGGAAGCTGGCAAGGGGTGACCCACAAAAGGTAAATAATGATGCTCAGGCTTGTTAAGATCCTCTAATTTTTTTCCTAAAGCTTGTTTCTTCTCTTTGACATTTCCACATGTGAACATAGTTTCTTTTCTGGATTTTCAAATGTGCACACTTCCCAATTTGAAAACGAAAATACACATTTTTAAAAAAAGCATGTCTACCCCCCCTCCAACTCCTCCCCACTGCAAATGTGCATTTCCCTGCATAGACTACTTCACAAAAAGAGGATTTAAGGGGGGTGGGAGCATTTTTGCACATGTGGAAAGGTGGCATTTCTGGAAGTGCACCCTTATGCAGGTGCACAATCTTGAATGCCAAAAGGAGTTTAGGAAACTGTACAAATGTCCCCCAAATTGTATTCCTGCCCACATTTGGGGATGCAAGCAAGACATGTTTGCATGATTTGCCAACAGGGAAAAAAACCTTGCTTGTGCCTGTGAACCGCCAACAAAAGCAGCTATGGAAAAATGGATAGTGTTTGGGGCAGAGCAGGGGGAAAGTTCCTGTTGCTTTGGGGAGGATCAGACTGAGTGTGGTATCAATTTGCTTTCCCATGGCATAATGTAATTCAGAGAAGTTCTGCATTTGTACCAGGATTGGCTTTTGTTTTAAACTGGCCTTTTCACTGTTAGAAAATACAAAAACATAGGGAATGTTACTCAATCTCTTACTTTCTCCTGAACCTCTTACATCTGTCTGAGCTGGGACCTCAAAGTGTATTGCATGAGCCTTAAATGTTCTTTCTGTTATCCTTGTTTCAGAGGTGGGGAGGTGTTCATGGTAATACATTTTCTTCCTTCACCAGAAAAACACCTCCATAACAAAAGGGACAATGTTGTTGTTCACATTGTGCTAATATTAAAATACTCTTTTCTGGACTTGGCAATAGAAGATTGGTCAGATAAGTGGGAACTTCAGCAACATGTTCTTGCACCTTATCCCGGTTGTGTACAAAGGATCATTTCATGTGTTTTCATAAAATAACTGTCACTTACTCCAAACTGAGGTGAAGCTTTGAACTTCCTCCTTTAACATGCAAAGGAATGTATGAGCCCTGGAATTGATGTGGCACATGGTTGAACTGCTTGCGTTGGCTTAAACTATGTTTTCAGCTGAAATAAGAAAGGCCATTTCATGAAAGAGTTCTCTTTTCTCCTGTCTTGAGATGGACCTGCTTTTTTTAGGGATAACAGTAAATTAGTATCACATTATTTCAGCCATCGTGGAAAAGTAAGTTATAGCTGAACATTGACCCCAGTTAAGTGATAATGACCAGGGTCAAGATAATAAAAATGGCTTTCTAGCTGTGAACCTATCCAAAAAAGTGATAAGTCCTTCCTTTCAAACATGATTAGTGGATGGTTGCTGGCAGAGAAGAAGTGGGTCAAAAGATCTTGCTCCTTCCCAAAGAAAAGGATATAAATCAGAGGTGTGTTTTGGACTACTGGGTCCCACAAACCACAACTAGAATGGCTGGCGATCATGAGTTGTGAAACATGCAATCCAGAATATCTGCAGAGTTGCCAAACCCTGGTATAAATAATAAGAATGGGTTGAAACTCCTCTCCACCCTCGTCTCCTCCAAATATTCTCCCCCTATGAATACAGGGACAATTTTCTACTAATTCACCGGCATGGTTGGAGAGAAATTTTGGTGGGCACAGGTTGTTACTCGCTTTCCTTAACCTTATGAAGTGACCAAGGTTTTCCTCTTATTTCTCATTATTTTTAAAAGTCTACACCCCTCAGAATGGGGAAGGGCTCCCTTCACATATTCCCAGCAGCTCTGCTTCCCTTGACAATGGTCATGACAATCTTGTGAAAGGATGTGATATGACAGCATTCTGTGGAGAAAGGACTGTTACAAGAGATTTTAGAAGTTCTCGCATTATCATTCAGCAGGCAGCATTTATTTCATCCCTACACACCCAACCAGTGGTTTAAGAAGAACGGTCAGCCTAGCGCTAAATGGAGTGTTAGTAGAACATTGAATTTGCACCATCCTTGGAAGGTACCGTGAGTCAAGATTACCCTGGAGGTACCTGCCACTCAGCCACTCTCCTTGGCCAGTGGAGGTGACCACCAGGAACGCTGCTTGAGGGCGCTCCCTCTCTGGATGCCCAAATGGGGCCACAGGGGAGATGGCGTCTCGGTGATGGTTCTCCAGTGATGGGATGCCCTCTCCAGTGAGGTGCATCTGGCATGAACAGTGTCATTTTTCCTGTACCAGGATAAGAGCCGCTTCTACTCCCAGGCATTTGACAGCAGAGTCAGACTTTTAATGGGGCTTGGAATTTTATTGCCTACTAGGCAAATTCATTTTATATCTTTATATGTAAATATTTTATGTTGCAGTATGTGTGATTTTAATCTTTGCAGACTGCCCAGAGAGGTTGGGCTATTGGGCAGTATAAAAATATAATGAACGAATGAATGGAGCTGGAGAAATTCTGATACAAACTGACCCGGTAATCTCCTAGACTAAAGTGTAGACTCAGATCAAATTATCCACCCACATCATCAGCTCCCAAACATTCTGATGTAATGTTTGACTTAGATACTGTGTTGATGCACTTTTAAAAAAGCACAAGCCTTTTAAAAAGCTTAAATTTAAATGTAGTTTAAATAACTAAATGTGGTTTAAATAAATAAATAAATAAATAAATACATGTAAATTATTTAAATGTGGTTTAAAGAAATAAATAAATCCCAATAATGCAGAAATGGGACTGAACAGATTTCAGTATGAACACGTGCAGGAGTGGCTTGGACTAGAAATAGACTGATACGCCGCTCCATATGGAAGGCTTGACAACTGCATTGACGATGCAGATGCCAAATGAACTAGCTTCATTAGTCTGGCAGTATGTAATTGTGTTTGTGTGGGATAATTACCACTATTTCAGCTTGAGCATTGATTACACAGTGTTCTTCCCAGGTCTCTAGAAGTTAAATCTCTGAGGATGTGTGTGTATGTGTACGTTAAGGATTAGTGAGAAGCTTGTTGTGTTGAGTTTTAAATTGGATTTAGCAAAATCACATTTCTAAAGAAAACATGGGCCAAAACAGAGTTGTATCCTGAAATCTCAAGTGTTTTGAGCTTGGTGATGCTTCCAACTGGACCAGGGATTGTGCACTCAATGGGCAATACATGTGCATGTTTATGAGAAGTGTGAACCAAGGGCATATATTTCCTGGAGAGCCAGTGTGGCGTAGTGGTTAAGAGCATGGGACTGGGACTCAGGCGACCTGGGTTCTAGCCCCCGCTCAGCCATGGAGCCAACTGGGTGACTTTGGGCCAGTCGCAGACTCTCAGCCCAACCTACCTCACAGGGTTGTTGTTGTGGGGATAAGATGGAGGAGGAGAATGATGTAAGCTGCCTTGAGCCCTTTGTAGGAAAAAGGCAGGATATAGATAGAATAAATAAATAAATAAATAAATAATATTTCAAAAAGTATGCACAAAATGGCAGTACTTCAGTGAAAAGTACTTGGGGAAAATGTGTACAAAATATAGCCTATTTGAGGAAATCTGCACCAAAAAACCCTCCCGTGCTTATGTAAAAATGGAACACAATGAGCTGAATTCTAAAAATTCAATTTCTGCACAAACAAGGTTTGCAGTTCTGTTCATTGTGAGTGTGTGTGCGCACGCTTGTGTGTGCATGCAGGGGGATGGGATTTGAATTTCAGTGCCCGTAAATGTAAATAAATGAGGGGAAAATAAGCTATCACATAGCTTCTTTTTTTAGTTCTGTCTCACTGTAACAGTATATCCCAAGAATAAATAAGTTCATGTTGCAGCTACTTTAAAAGTACAAGGAGATCCATTGTGCAGGAAATTGTTATTATCTCTCTATTGCTAACAGAAGGCCTTTTTCATTTCTGAGGCCAGGGCAGGCTAGGCTATTATCATGCTAACGAACAGGATAGGCAGAATCATGTAAATGACTAGGACAGAACAACCTTCAGCAAGAAAGGGGATCTTCCAGGATCCTTAATGTAAAAAAAAACAGAACGCTACAGGCATGTCTACAACCTATGTCATGCAAACATAAAATATCAGTGCTGGAAGAGAATGTGAAGGATAGAAAGCAGCCCTTTGCACTTCACATAGTTAAACAATGTACTTAATGAGTGATGTATGAGCGTTTCAGTTGAGCTCACACATCTTTCAAAGATTCCCCATTTGTAACCCCAAACATGAATGCAAACAGGAATAAACATGTCTCAAAAAAGGTCTGCAAATGCCAGAAGTTCAGTACTGT